TCGGACATCCGCGTGGTTGGCTCGGGTCTGAATTGGGGGGTCCATAGCCCCTGGGCGCCAATGTGGCCGACGCAGTTGCTGGCGCTCCATTTAACTGACGTGACGACGTGCGTCGCGCCCCCCTTCTGGGATGGAATGAATGGGTAAGAATATCATGTGTGGAGAAAACAGGAAAGGGTTTCAGGGAGGAAGGAAGGGAGACATAGAGAGAGAGAGAGAGAGAGAGAGAGAGAGAGAGAGAGAGAGAGAGAGAGAGAGAGCGAGGGAGAGAGAGAGAGGACAAAGAGAGAGAGGAGAGAGAGAAAATAGAAAGAGGGAGATAGAGGTAGAGATGGAGAGAGAGAGAGAGAGAGAGAGAGAGAGAGAGAGAGAGAGAGAGAGAGAGAGAGAGAGAGAGAGAGAGAGAGAGAGGAGAGAGAGAGAGAGAGAGAGAGAGAGAGAGAGAGAGAGAGAGGAGAGGAGAGCGTGGGCAAGAACAGAGAAGCAGAACGGTAGGATCGAAGACAGCTAAATCGCACAAGTCGTTCAAGCTGCAATCCATGTGAACGAAACGTACAGGGCTGTGAGATTGTCTCATCCGGTGGTAGGGCGGTGCCAGACGAAAGAGCTCGCAGAGGCGATGTCGGCGTCGCACCGATATTTATCTCGGCGTCGCACCGATTTTTTCCATTTCAGACGCCCAATGCCGCGTCAATAGAACCCAGCCGACGTCCGGCCTCCCGGAAAAGCTGCGCCGCCTGTCAGCCGACACCAGGGGATGGTGAGAGCGTGGGGGATGTAGGACGGCAGGACGCAGCTGCGAGCGCCCGCTCCCCGGCCTCCCGCCGCTTCACGGGATGGAGATCCCCGTCTCTGCGGAGGCGTACAAACGGAATCACTCAGGTCGGCCAGATGTGGCGCCGGCCCGGTTCGGCCATAGATCGCTGACGGCTGCGCTGGATAAATCCGTCGCCATCCGACAGCTACCACGGGAAAAACGTCCTGGATACGTCCTGATAGCGTATAAGCTATTCTCCCAGTTCTGTCACCGTGTGATGGCCGGTCCGTAAGGGTGCCAGGGCTCTTCGCCTCGCTCAGAAACCACTGAACTGAGATTTGCAGACCACTGCGCCGGCACTGGCGACCCCATTGTTCCACTGAAAGAGGCCATTCGGTGATATTGCCCTGGATATTGACGACACACTTGGACGTCATAGAGTCGCTCGATGCTTGGTCGGCGTGGAACGCCGAAGAGGCCGGAGGTACAAACACGCGGGGCACGGGATTGCCTGCAGAGCTTCGCGCTGCAATAGCAGCGGAGCATGACGCCTTGTGGTGCCGAACGATGCTTCCTTTCCACATATGCAGCAGTCCCAATGCAACATGAGTGTTTTAAAGCACAAATTGCCTTGCATGGGTTGCAATTTCCGTTGCTTATTCCTCATCACAGCGTGTTGTAAGCGTCTTATCAGTACGATATGACATTAACTTGAGCTGTCTTCTTTACTTGCATTTTGTGCTCTATAGGTATGAGCTCTATGTAGTGTGCAGCATAGACATAGCACAAACTGTCATAGCATTGTAGGTATGAGTTCTAAGCTGCACGCCATGATTGCAATCCAACAACGATTTTATCATTTTCTGACTCAAGGTCAAGAAGAACGGCGTCCGCGTCGTCTCCCAGTAACCAGAAGTGCAACGTCTTTGTCGTTGCATTATCTTTGCTACCCCTTCTGACGTCACATCGCAGAGCAGAGCTCATGCGCAAGAACTCAGTATCTGATACAATGCTTGATCAGAACTGTTGCGTGTTGCAACACACGTATGTGTCATGGCACAACAGACATGAGCATGGATTACCTATATCTGGCATTGCCTCGTTGGTCTCCTCGTAGGTAAATGTATGTGTACAGAGGCGGTGCCACCAGGGGACGAGAGGGGCAGCAGCCCCATTTTCTAACGAGGCCAAGCGTATCTTTTGCCCCCTTCAAATGTCGTGAGGGCCCATTATACTCACAGGAGGCTCTAGATGACCAACACAGAACATATCATCTAACCTTATATACGCAAGGGTCCACGAACGGTACGCATGAGACACTATCTACCCTGTAAGAGGTTCAGATATCCAGTATCCGACACTTCTGGTCGGGAGGGAACCCCTAATGAATCAAACGAAGCTACATCACACACTTAGAATATCGCATAAAAAACATAAAAAGCTTCTCCAGCCCAAAAGGAGGCCTCACATGGAAAAAACGGAGACTGCACCAGGCCAGGAGGAAGCTCTAGTCATACAAATATATAAGGGCCAATGGCTCCTCTTAAAAGAGTGGGCGAAATTCGTGAGATTTTTTTTCGGTAGGGGTCTGGATAGGAAACTCCACATGTGCTTAGAATACAATATACTTACAATCTGACCCCCGCTGAGATCTCGGGAACTAAGAAACATAGAAACGCCAAGTTCATGGGGTGTGTTAACTGTACGTGAACTCACTAAGGTCAAAGTTTGAGGTTCCTAGGTCATGACCTTCGGTTCAGGTAAGGCTAAACAAGGTTCAATTCAAAGGTTGGTCTCCAAAGGGCCCCAGAACCTACATAACTGTTTCTAAGCAAAAAGTCGCATGCTCATTTAAGGCCAGTGGCCTTGTTTGACCTTTTGAAGGTCGTGGTGACAATCATACAAGATTGCTGTGAGTTTTGCATTTGAATAAGCGACAAAGATCACGCTAGGCAGTATGTTCCTAAAACAAAGTGCTGTCCTGAGTCATTTTAGGTAAATGACCTATTCTGACTTCTAAGAAGCCCATGAAAAATGTAAAATGCAGTTCCTGCTATCAACAAATTCGACATGAGCACCAGAAACTATCCCACACAGCAAGCCCTAACGTAACAAACAGGTTGGCTTTGATCTTGGTCTGACCTTCACACATGAACTTAGGTCAATGCAATTTACTCATTCAATTGCTGTGTTGCCTAAGAAAGCACCTCAGAGATGTATGGCTTCGTCTAACACTTCGTTGTCGCATCAGATTGAACGACTCCTTTAAAACTGACTTCGCCGAAACCATGGCCTGACTTTGACCTGCCATAGGTCAACGACCTTACAAGGTACATATAAACACTTAAATTTTATACCAAACGATTTGCTATTCAACTGTCGACAGCTATGCAAAATTTGGCGCGTCCACGGCACGCCGTTCGGAAACCATTCTGGAAAAACATTCGCGGAGGTCAATTTGACCCCCACCCAAGCGCACGGTAACTTAATACGCCTGCCTTCCTCCATCGCAGTTTGCTGCATGCGCGATATAAACATCTTCATTCAGGAAGGTTTTAGGGTCATTGCCCTGGAACGTCGCTGCCGAGCACCAGTCACGGTGCACACCGGTCTGGCGAACTGCAGTCCGACCATCACGCGTGAGACACGGCGTTCCGTCGCGATGCCGCCCCATGCTGACGCGCACGGCGTTCCGTCGCGATGCTGCCCATGCTGGCGTGTACGGGGTTCCGTCGCGATGCTGCCCCATGCTGACGTGTCTAAACGGCGGCTGAGTTGACTTGCGACATTCTAGACCTATTGCGACATTCTAGACCTCAGGCGAGCTCAATACAAACTATCAAGCTGGGATTAAACCTGGCTGAGCGAAGCGGTACGCTGACGCGTAGCTTTACAGGGCAATGAAAAGGCACACGCGCGGACCAACATGGCGTACAAGGTTCCGTCGATACGGCTTTGGCCTGGAAGGGCACAAGAGCCTCGGTACATGGGACACAAATGTTATCCTGTCGTGAATGTGCCACAGAATCCCCAAGAAAAAGCAAGTTTTCTTTATGAAATGCCAACACGCCGGAAGGGCAGATAAAATAGCATTCAAATCTTGGAGATTTTACGTATCCGTTGTTGGCTGAAAAGTCCACGCTAACATTTTCCATGAATACAACTATTAGCTATGTAAGCTTTAGCTTGGACGTCGATGTTTTTCCTGGAGCTAGCGTCCCTAGATACCATTCATAGAAGCAGGAAGTCAGCACAACAGTACTGGACATACTGCCATACATTAAGCCTTGTTGAGTGCAAAAGACAAAGTCTAACTGCCGGGCACTCTGCAATCGTCCGTGCTTTATGGTCGTTGTGTCAAAGCCTGCTCAGTGTGCAAACGATGTGAAGTGCCCTTCTACACGCTACCGTTATTTGACAGGGGCCTCGTTAGGTACCTCAACTGAAATGAGACGAAAAGCACAACAAATAGGAGCGAAACCCACGACATATCTTCAGAATGTGTAAGTATAACCAGTAAATTTTACTCTGGAGGCGTTTTTGTTTTGCCACCCTGTACTTATGTGTTATTTTACGGTGGCGGTAAGCTAGGATTAGGTCCCACTACACCAAATTGCAAACCTTAATCGGCGAAGAGGTGACAGCATCACTTCCCGAACACAAGGTTTCGGCTATTTTGATAGACATGACGACAAATGATGACCTTGACTTCCGTTTATTCTTCTTTTGGGCCATTCATTTCAGATTTTGTATCAAATAGCGAGTAAGACCCAATCTAACAATGCTAGAGTGACCACGTCTAGTATGTAAAGGCTATTGCTTTCTACCAGCAAAAAAAACGTCCAGGCTTACAAGAAAGATTCAACACGTACCCACTAAATAATAGTGCTCAATGGAGACGAAGCGCTCAGAAACCAAGCCGGATTCCGCCGCGGATCTAAGCCGGAGTCCGCCATGACTCTAGGCCAGAGTCCGCCGCGGATCTAAGCCTGAGTCCGCCGCGGATCTAAGCCGTCACTTTTCACCGGTTCCGAATGTGCTCTGCTCCGCAATGTAATACCTCAATACTTGCGTAGCTCGCTTTGGTATCCCTGTGTTAGAACAACGCACCTGCGCGCATGCCACACGACTGAACACAATCCAGCACGTCCGCCAGTGTCGCAGCGCTGGGGCGGCGCACTGCTGACTCTGCGGGGGCGAGCAGCCGCCGCCGGCGTCCCGCCCGCGAGCTTTGGACACCCACCTGGCGGCGACCTGGGGGCAGCCCCGGACGGGGCGGAGCTGGCGCTGGCGTTGGCCGGACAATCACACGGTCGCAGCGGACCCCGCCACGTCGGCGTCCGAGCCGCACATGCGGCACACGGGAGGGCAGCGCGAGTGCCGCGAGGCTGGCGGCGGGCGCGGCGCAACGCGGACGGCCGCTCTAGCCGCGCCGGCCGTCGTCGGCGCCCGCCGGCGCCGCCGGCACAAGATGGCGGCGGCGCCGATCGATGCCGCCAACGGCCTTGGTGCCGAGATAAGCGGACGGCGCGACCGGAGGCACGCTGCTATCGGCGGCTTCAGGTCACCCACCGGCGCAGGCCTGTCTGCCGAACGAGCTCGCTTACCGCCCCAGCGGTGTCTGCGACGCGTGGCTGCTTGCTGGCGTAGCGGTGTCTACGAGTAGGGACCACCTGCCGGCGTAGCCCTGCGGCATTTGCCAGCCATAGTCGCTCATCTACACCGGTAGCTGCAGGCCATGGTCGCCTACCTGCACTGCAGTAGATGCGAACTATGATCGCTTGTTTGCACAGCGGTAGCTGCAGGCCGTGATCGCTTATCTACACAGCGGTAGCTGCGAGCTATGATCGCTTAGCTGCATAGCGGTAGCTGCGAGTTATAATCGCTTACCTGCACTGCGGTACCTGCAAGCTATGACAGCTCACAAGTAAGGCAGTATCTGTGCGCGCGCAATGCTCAGTCACCAGCAGGGCAGTAGCTGCAATGCCTGACCGCTTACCAGTACAGCAATATCTGCGCTTACCGGAACGGCGCTATATGTGTGCCATGACCGCTTACGGCTTAGCGAGCGCCTCCGAATCGTTACCGCTGGCCGGCACGGTGGCGTCTCTGGCGCAGCGTTATCCGCGACTCGCGGCAGTCTACCGTCGCGGCGGCAGCGGGGGGACCTCCGCCGACCGGAATGTCGGAGCCATGAGTCTTCTCCATGCCGCGGAATCTGCCGGTCGTAAAGTCTCAGGCGCCTGCCACAAATGTTGAGCATGTGAACTCACACATGCTGGAGCTGCCGGCCTTCCCTCGCCAGCGTCTTGGAGCTGCCGGCGCTTGCGGGGCTTTGCCACATAGACGCGAGGCCATCTTTTCCAGCGTTTCGGACGTTTGGATCATTGTTTATCAGTACCATTGAATCGGGCATCGCATGCAATTTCAGTCCACATGTTGTGTCATTACACTTTCACATTTGATCAGTTGTCCTCCAAAAACCAAATGTGATAAATTTCGGCACTGAGTGTCTGTATGAGTCAAGCTGGATCAATATAGGCACTAGAGCGGATCTATAAATACACAGATCCGAGGATGACGCTCCAACGATGTTTGTCACGGAAAGTGCGCAGAAAATGGCTGTTTTCAATCCTGATCCATCCCAATGTGTTGTTTGGTGCAGCCGCGATCATGAGGGCATCCAGGACGCCACCACTCCGCAGGGGTCTTGTATCGGTGTTATTTTCTTCCTTTTTGTGGGCACCCTGGTACCAACAAAGGACACCCCTAAATTTCAACCATATCGCACAGCATGTGCAACGATAGCCTAAAATGTAATGAGTGGAGATAACGAGCTAAAATGCGGCCATTAGAAGTGCATCCAGCACTTTATCTTTTAAGCACAGGTGGGTGTGGGAAGTGTACGTATCTAAACAAAATTAGAACGGAAAGCGCACGGAGCCGGTCTGCTCCTCCCACCATTAGCAGCACGCCATTCACGCACTGGTCAATGGGTTTCGCAGGCGGAAATCAACAAAACAACAAACGAATGTATATATTAGATCGGCCGAGTAAGCTTTCGGAATACCGCACCGATGGGAAAACTTAGGGATTAGAAAACCTGTGGAAATTTCGGCCCCACAGTGATTTTTAACAGCCACGCCTGTGCGCCTTCTCATCTACTGCTAATGAGCACGCCAGGCGTAAGTATGCGTAACACGGCGACTGGATATTGACGGAGTTGATCAAGTTCTTGATTCCGGCTGTGCCTGGCCGGACACCTGGATCTGGTAGGCAATGCGGGGTAGCCCGATCCCATAACGTTTTCTACTGGCTTTGGGACATCGTAGTGTAGTATCTGCCTGCATCATATGATATTACCTGAATTTCATCACCATTTCCCTGTGGCACGGTGCCGTATTACTCATAACGTCTTAGCAAACGACCGAGCAATGTAGTTCCTCTTAAACAATGATATTTTTAGTTTTATTCCGGCCTCGGCCCAAAATACCGTCAGAGTGATATGCTCAGCACGCATTCGACTGCAGTCAACCGGGATTTTGTCGAGCCGGGCTACAAGGTCGCAATGCTGTATGCAAGTGAGAAAATATCAAGATATCGAAATCTGGTGGAAAAACCGGTCGCTGAGCAAGCATTGCTTTACACCAGACTGTGACGTAGCCTTGTAAGACCCTGGAGTTGGGGAGGGCTCCGCGGGACCGAAGGCCCAAGACCTTTTTGGCAGTTTAAGACGCCCGTAGGCCTTCTAAAACCATCAAAGAATGGTTCTCCAACATGAGAACAAGGTCCTGAGCTTAAAAGGTCCACCAAGTTCAAACACAGGCGCTCTGAGCGACGAAGAGGGACTACCTGGGGTGAAAGGACCCCCGTACTCTATTGTGACCCTCACTTTGGTGGCAAACTGGCTACGTAACTGACACCAGGGCAGTGCTGTCAGGGTCCCTGCAACAAGCGATGCTTAGCAAGCATTCAGAACCCAAATAACTATCCTTGCATTTGATTTGGTTAAGCTTCCGTTACTGACATATTTGGCATTCTAATGCAGTTTTTGCTTGGCATGACACTTCCAATGTCAGAAAACCCCGCTATAAACTGAAACGATTTGTGTAATGATGTATAAGCACATCAGGTGTGTGAAAAGTCACGCTGCGGCGCAAATGCAAAACAAAAACGTCACGCCGTTTCGCAGAAGCGGTTGCGTCTTTTTGTCTTTCCACCACGGAATGAACGGAGTCAACCTTCTCCATATGATTAATGTCTCTCTGTGTGATCCGTAATCTATACCTACTGATTCGCACTTTTCATCACCTGCAATTCGAATATCAGTTGCCGCATGCTAAATAAGCACACATAGTGCATTCCGAGGGCTGGAAGTGCTTACTAGGGGTAATGCCGCGAATGCGTCCAGTATTTCCTCAAACGCATTGCCAAAGCACTTCGCTGAAATGTCAAACGATTGGACATAATTGACTGCAAATGGATGTGAATCTCTGCCCACAGAAGGCTACAAATCCACGAAGCACGAGCGCAAACCTTGAATCCGACCTTATCTGATTCATGGCGGAGGAAATGAGAATCTCTGGCATTGTCAAATCATGCCAGCAACCAAAGGAACGGCGGTTTACTGACACGCGAAGCATATCAGCCAGATGAAATGGTGGGCGGTAACAGCTCCGAGGACCGTGCCGGGCACGCGCATGACTGGTTTTTGGGCACGGGGCCGCCGGAAGAAGTGTCATGAGTCCCAGGGGGGTGATGTCGGCTGCTGGCATCGCCGAGTGCCGCAGTGCGGATACGCGAATCCCACTGGATCCAGTATGCATGGAATTCGGGCAACCAGTGCCGCGGGGAACTTCAGCGCGTCATCGCGCCCACGGCAATGACTGCAGGCTTCGGTACTTCAAAAAGAGCCGTGCTTCCTTCCCCACTCTCCCATGCTCCTACCCGCAAGGCACTCGCCGACGTGTAAGTTGCGTGTAATCTCGGTGATAAGGCCAACTTATTTTATTAAAAGTCCTCTCGAAGGGTACCCCTCCAGTAAAAAAAATCTTGAGTGTAACGCTTCTCCGCCACCAAAAAAAAAGAAGTTTTCTTTCACAAGACCATTTCTTCTCTCCGGAAGCGCAACCGGGCCAGGCGAGGTCTGCAAATAACATGCCGTAGTTCACTGATGAAGATGAGCATCAAGTGCAACCACCGACACCGGCCATGTGTCAAATTCGCCTATTTAGGCGATAGGTTACCAATGCGAGTTTTGTAATCGTAAAGGAGGCCGTTTGTGGCCACCCTTTTACACTTTGCGATGTGTTTTCGGTGTTTTTGCTTGCAGTGATTCGGTTAAGTTAGAAATCGAGTGCCAAACATTCTTTCAGCTCCAAGTACCTTGGTAGTTGTCCGTGCGCCTGTCCGCAGATGTCCAATTTTGCGTACAGAAATACGCAATGAATGCTGATGGATCCCTTCCGCCACGCGCGGCACGCCTGGCCTGCCCAGCCCATGTCCGACTCGGCGAGAGGCCCTGATCGACCATGCCGGCCGTCCTTGGGCCACGCCCCGCTCCGCCTCCTCCGCATCGGTCAACCGCCGGAGGTCGCCCGCGTGCGTTGTCAGCACGCACCGGCTGCGGCGCGTCTGACCTCTGCAGGCAGATACAGCCACGTCCACGCGTGTCTGCTGACCGACACACGTGGACGTGGCGGCGACGGACACACGTGCACTTGGCGGCACGACCAGCTGAAGTCTGTAGCTTCTGATGTGGACGCCGACAGTGCAGAAGTGTGATCCGTCTCTGTCAGTATACAACCGGCGCGTTGGTTCTTCAAGGGAATGCGTCTTTTTTCGGGCATATTTCAAAGCATTCTCTTGTAAAGCCCATCACCCACTGTGTCCAATAAAAGCGCTGGTGAATACCACTACAGCACAAACGAGGCATAAAAGGCAAATTAATTTTGATTAATTCGAGTTCAAATAACGCAGTCAACGTTTTATCTATCAAAGCCCATCGAAAACACGTGCTCTTCAAGGGCAGCCGTTACTGATGGTCTCTCTCTACATTCCGTGAAAAAGGGTTTGGCTGTTATCGGGTCTCATCTCCTCAATATCATCATCAGATCTGTAATTGCATGCATGTTTCCCAATGCCTGGAAATTAGCTCGCGTTACGCCTGCTCACAAATATTGAGACCGATAACATATACCGATAAAATCTGGAGGCCGACACTGTCGCCGGGGCAGCATGCTTACCCTGGAGGCCGACACTGTCGCCGGGGCAGCATGCTTACCCTGGAGGCCGACACTGTCGCCGGGGCAGCATGCTTACCCTGGAGGCCGACACTGTCGCCGGGGCAGCATGCTTACCGGCCCTGTCAGTCCACGCAGAACGGTCTAATGCTGTCGAGTGGATC